TCAGCTTCTCCAGCACCGGGATTACAGGTGTGCACCACCTTACCCAGTTTCATTGGCCAGCTCGGCATAGGGCTGGCATGGCATGTGGTACTGGAGATCCCACCTGGGTCCTTGTACTTTCCAGGCAGGCACTTAGACCACTGAGCTATCTCCTGGCCCCATACAGAATTTTAAAACAAGATAATAGGAGATTAATAAGGGTTAATATATTACATATTATTATCTTCAAAGTAGTTGCTCAGATTATAACATATAGGAATGAAAAATTTAACAATATAAGAAGAAACATTATTTAACAGAAACCTAACAATAGCTCCCTGAATAATTAAAATTACCTGCTAGTCAGAATTCCAAAGACTGGAAAGAAACTGATAAAACTAATAAAAGTAATAAATCTTAATACTTGATAGAGTAAAATATTAGCAGTTAGAAATGAAACCTAAGGTGACAATATTTTTGGTGTTATTAGCAGAACCGGGGACTGAACTTGCACTTGCCAGGGAAGCACTTATTCCACTGAGCCATATCCCGGGCCCCTGAAATGTAATCTAAGGGCTGGCCAACTAGTTCAGAGGATTAAAGTGACTGCAAGCTTTGATCCCGGGGTCTACTGTGCTGGCCCCACCCCTGGGGCACGCTGAGATGGAGATTGAGACTGGGCGTGGTAGCACGTGCCTCTAATCCCAGCACTTGGAAGGCTGTAAACAGGAGGATCACTATGACTCTGATCTAGTAGTGAGACCCTGAACACTCTGTAGACCCTTTCCTAAAAATACAGGAAAAGAAAAAAAGAAAAAGAAAGAAAATCTAAAAACCATTTACAATATTCTTAGATTCTTCTGCCTGGAGGCTGAGAAATCTGGTATGTAGTTTCCATCTGCAGCCTAAATTTATATGGATTGGCCCATTTGAGGCGCTCGGGAGCCACACGTGGCTCTGTCAGACCATGACGTCAGGACCATTGTATGCCAGAGTCAAGGGTAAAGCCTTCTAGTGCTTCAGAAAATTAAACAAAAACTTTTTAGAGGAATAACAAAAGACACTGATGCCAACTATTGTGGTCAAATACACAGGCACATTTCTGACCCCCAGGTGTAGAAGCCCTTTGTACAGTGCTTCGCCTTAAATGTGAAATCCAAAGACAGGCTGGGTGGGAAAGCCCTGGCGCCGCCTGGACGAAGAGCTCAAGAGAAAGCCTCGCTGCTGCTCGTTTCCCTCCTTCCCCGTGAAGTTTGCTCCCTGCGGCGGGAGCTCTGCAGCCCTGGCTGTCTGCTCTCCACGCTTCTCTTCGCTTCTGACAGAGGAGGTGCACCAGTGCTCTGAAGGGACTCAGGAGGCATCAGGGATCCACAAGGGATGCACGACAGCATCTGCTCTGGAGGCGTCACAGCCGCAACCGAAAACAGCAGCTGGCCTGTTTTTCCGCAACGCTGAGATTGCCTCTGGGTTCTAATTTGCCAAACTGTATTTCTTCATTCTTTAAAATTTGGCTCGCTTCTTGCATCTTCTTTAAGCTTTTAAAGTCTTGCCTTAGTTGCTCAGTCTGTCTTTCTCTGTCTCTCTGTCTCTCTCGTTTCCTCTTTTTCACCATTCTGCTACTTGCCACAAAGCTGTGCATTTGGTGAGATCTGATGTGCAAACTTGGAAACTACTTAGGAAGAAAATAAATAGAGCTGAGTCTTCTTCCAACCAAGTACATATGTAGCTGGGAGGACTCTTAAGGCCTGTGTGCTGGTCTTTTGTAAGTGAATGTGCAACATATGTATCATTTCAAAATAAAATAACAAGAAAATACACATTATCTTATAAACTTTAATGCAGAACTCTTAAAATATGACTAGGTATAATTTTAAAACAAAAAATGTCTTCAGATATTTAGTTAGCTTGATATAGAAAAAGAGTAAAATACCTAGAAAGTAGTTAGTTTGTGGATAATTAAGGGCGTGAACACTTTTATCTTTACTAATTACAACTAAAATCTAACTGGAACTTTTTGAGAAGAAGATACTTAGGCTTTTTTTTTCTGAGTAAATAAAAATAAAGAATAGTTAGATAAAAGCATAAGAGTAGTTGTGTTGAATTCTTTTGTATAGTTATTAATTTCTATAACAGTGTCATTGCATTATAATATATTTCAATGACTTTTTCAAGGTCACCCATTTCACAGTCACTTTACTCAAAAGTATAACTTTGAAAAATCTCTATCTGGTTCTGAGAATCAGAAAAGCCTTGCTTTGAATAGCAGCACATACAGCTGTGGGCTGCTGTGTCTTCGCATGCTGTGTTGTCAGCCCTGGAAAGCAAAAGGAATTACTTTAGAGTCAGAGTCAGAATTTAAAATTAGGAGGATTACGTTCATCCCACTTTGAGTCATAAGAAAGCACAAGTTATGAATACAGTGAAACAAACTTGCAAAGTAAACAAAATTTTTGGAAATCACTCTATATATACATATTTATATAATTAGAATTATCAACATTTTAATATACTTACTAAAAATAAAGTTACCATTTTGTCTTCTGTTTTGGTGCTAGTGGTGTAGCTCAGGGGTAGAGTGTTTACCTAGTACAAGGCTTTGGGTTCTATCCCCAGCACTATGAAACAAACAAACAGTGATGAATTTCTTGATTTCAATCTGTTTTCTGCTGTGTGACATCCCCACTTTCCTGCTGAACATCAGAGATCCATCATCAACTCTTGTTGACAAACGGTGGAACAATTCCTGATACACAAAAGGAAGAACTAAATTAATAATTAATCAACTTAATCTCCTGCAAATCATCTTCTAGGTTTTGGTGGTTCATATGTATGTTGGAGTGAATAAAAATGCAATCCAAAGAAAACTTAAAAAATGCCTTGACCTTCGTGGATGTTGACATGGGTCAATATACACTTCATGTGGCCTTGTGCCTTTTAATTTCCCTAACTCTATGACATTGAAAAAGTCACATGGCCTTACTGTGGCTCAGATCCTTGAAAGGTATTTGGCTCTAGCTTAAGTTCATTTCAGCTCCAAGGCTTTGGGCTTTGTTTTTAAGTGCATTATAAGTGTACGAGTAAAAGTCCCACAAAAAGGATGAATGCCATTGTCTTTGGTCTGAAAGAAACTTAGTAGTTAGTGTCTTTTTCTTTCTATATAAAAGTGGACTTCCTGTGTATCTGAATGTATCTTGTGACCTGCACACCAATACCTAGATCTTTCCATGATAGAGGATTGATTAGCATCTTATTTTATTGTTAACCATGTAAAATCACAAAGAAGTCCTAAAATGAATAGTGTAGTGATAGTTTGGTAAACTATAACCCTTTTAAGGATAATTGCTAAACACTTAAGATTTATTTTGCATATAAGAATTATTTCTCACCTTCACACTATCTGGGATGTGCTGGTGATCAGTTCTGCTAAATACAGAAGAAGACATTCCCTCAACTTCTGTCAACACGGAAAGGTATGTCCTATGCCTATTTGAATGACCTGTTAACAGAATAATTATAGCTGCTCCCCCACAGGCCATGTATTGTTTAGCAGTACCAGATGCAGGACCACTACTGATGTTGAACTGCTTCTGAGCAAGTACACATATATGCAAGCAGTTGTTAGAGACCACTTATCCAGTTCCTTTATTGAAAAATAAAGGTTTGTGGTTATATCTAAATATAGTAAGGTCATCTTTTTTGTTTTATAGGTTACTTTGTTTGAATGGCTTATTATCATATAACATAATCAAGATATGAAACAGTTCTATTTCTCCAAAATTTTTTATACTTCTTTGTAGTTTCTTCTCTGCCACCACCTCCAGCCCTTGGCATCCCATATTTTTTGTTTTCACAATCATACAGCCTTTTAGGTCTAGCTTCCTTCACTAGCTTAAACGTTTTGATTTTCATCTGTGTTCCATTACCTCGGAGTATTCTGCTGTATGGGTGTGCCAAGGTTGAAGGACTTTTCAAACATCTACATATTTTTGTATAAATATTGACATACAAATATTCTCATGGGCATATGTTTTTATCTCCCTTCAGAAGACTTGTCTAAAGTAAGAGTGGAAACCTTCACCAAGAGACCACCAAACTATTTTCAAATTGGTTATTCCTTATTGGATTACCAACAGCAATGCCTGAGAACTCTAGTTGCTCTGTATCCTTGCCAACTTTTGAAATCATTTATTCATAGATTTATTTTTAATTTAAGCTATTTTAGTCCAAAATGTCTTTGACTTCTTCATAGTTATGGTCTAGGTGAAGTACTGTGGATGCTTTTTCTTCTCTCATTAGGATGACAGCTTGCTCAAACGTTTTCATGAAGCCATGAGCATTTGCTTGTGAAATCAGGTTCTTCACCAAACACAGCGTAGCTATAAGAGTCAAGTGTTTTGAATTGCCCTTTCTCAGCAGGCCGAGTGGGTTAGAATATAGCACCAATGACTCTTCAAGGTTAATAAAATTAAGTTTCTTCTGTTGTCAGAGACAGCACCTACAATCTTACCTGACCATTTCATATCTAAAGGCCTTATTAACAAAGAACTCCAGAGAGAATCAGAGCAAGAGCGAGAGATTCAGTGGAAATTTGTCATCAACACAGGGAAACTCTAATCTGCCTATTTAGTTAGTCCCCCAAAATTTTCTGGAAAATATGGAGGGGAATCAGGCTCAGCAATAAGGGAGCGAAAGGACTTCATTGCGATGTGACTTTCACTGTTCAACAATAACAGAAAGCCATTGCTTCAATGTATGATAAAGGTTAACAGGGCACTATTCTTTTGTGTGGAATTGCTTTTTCTCATCACTGGATTAATTTGATCACACTCATTTGTCAGCTATCATGTTTGGCTTCCTATAGCTGCAGAGTATAGACAATGAAAATGTATGCCATTTGGTAATGATGTGCCAACCGTGTGTTTCTTCTGATCAGCTTGAACTAAGAATTCCTACTCATCACCATCACCTATTCCTTTGGAATAATAAAAACTTCAAGGACTTTTTTGTCTTGTATTTTGCAGGTGGCTTGTCTAATATCTTGCATTTTCATCCTTATAGTCATCTACGTAATAGGACCTTTGCTGTACTGGCTGCCCATGGTACTGTAATTATTTTTCACTATCTACTTTTTAATACCACTTTTAATCAGAATTAGTGCATATAAAGTTCTGGGGAAAATAAATTTAGTAATCCTGAACTTGAAAAACTATGTTATATCAGTACAAGTTGAATAAGGAGGAATGGAAAGATGCCACATTTGATGAGGGACGAATGAGAGGAGATGCTATAGTGTCTCCTAAATCTTCATCTCAGATTTGAAAATGGTAAGGTAGAGAGCTAGGAGCTTTCTGTGTTCATTTGGAGAGTGGGACTAGGGATATTTTGCTATAAAAGGTAGCCCAGTTGTAGAGTGCTTGTCTAGCATGCCAGTATGAGACCTTATGGTTCATCCCTAGCAGCATAACAAAAAGAAAGAAAGAAAAAGAAAGAAAGAAAGAAAGAAAGAAAGAAAGAAAGAAAGAAAGAAAGAGAAAGAAAGAAGAAAAGGAAGGAAAAAAAGGGAAGGGAAAGAAGGAAGAAAGGAAGGAAAGAAAGAAAGGTGGAAAGAAGGAAGGAAGAAAGGAAAAGTAGACATGGGAAAAATTTTATCAGAACTTTGTTAGAAAATATTGCCAACAGAATAAGAAAAAAAATGTCTGCCCAGCCTTGCAGAGCCCTTCATATAGTGTGACTGAGAACATTAGTTCCAGTGGTTCGCTTTGTACTTTCAACATTCCAGGCCCCCAAGTGACCCAAGTGAAAGTCATGGTTCTAACAGTCAGTCTTGGTCATTTGTTATTCTGGTGTTTCACGTGCCATGAGAATCTGTAGTTTCACAGAATGATCTTCTAATCATCAAGTTAACTTTCCAAGGGAGTTATAAATATCTTTAGGCAAAAATCAGATAATTGATATTCGAGGCAATTATACAGAAATCTATGATATAAATATGTATTTTACTGCAGCAAACAGATTTCAAACAAGTGACAGTGAATAATTATAGTTAAAGACACCTTTTGCCTTGTGGTATTCACCTTTTTAATTTACTACTTTTTTATTTCTGTCTTTTTAAAAATTTGTATAAAATTTAACCTGTGCTTTCCCAGATTTGATATTATGTTCCTAAAGTACAAGGAGATAGTTTTAACTAAAACAAATATTATTTTAGTTCTTAAGTTGATGATTACTTTTCTCCAATAACTACTTTAAAAATAAAGAAACAAATAAAAATAGCTTGGTCCTTTTAAATTCAGATTAAAATTCTCATCTTGCTGCTTCCTGAACTTATTTTTTTATTTGTAGTGTGTTCTTGCAAGCATTATTGTTGTGGGACTCAAAGGCATGCTAATACAGTTCCGAGACTTAAAAAAATATTGGAATGTGGATAAAATCGATTGGGTGAGTAGAAATCTGATCAAGAATGTTTTCCCTTTGATTTAATCATGTTACCATAAGGTTTAATATTTTTATTTGAAAAAAAAACAGGTTTAACCATGTGGACTTGTTTACTTTACAAACTACCAGTTATTGTTTTCAAAGTCTTGATAAAAACATAAATGTATATCTTTATCAGAGTCAGAATTTTGTTAAATTTTGATAGATTGAAGTTAGAGAACTTTTGAAGAAACTCTAACTAGTTTGAATGGATTGAGAATACGCAATTTACATTACAAATTAATTCTGGAAGCAAATTTCAACACTAAATGCACATTAACAGAAATATGAGGATTTATAGTATGCATGAAAAATAACACTAATCCCTAATAATGTGTGCTACGTGATTATACAGTAGACATCTTATTGGCAGCCATATGCATTCTAAATATAAAGAAACGTATGAATTGGTTTTTGAATGGGATACAGTGAAGGGATATTGTTAACAGAATATTACTGGAGACAAATTAAATTATACTGACTAGCAATAAAATGTGGTTTTAAGTAACAGAAATGTTTGGCTTATTTATGTTCTAGAAAACTCTGCCGATGCAAGAGCATCCAAAATCTCTCTCTCCCATATGGGTGAAGTATCTCATGAATGCCCTTCATTTAGCTCTTCTATGGCATTAACACTTGAAACATGGTGATCTGCATGTGTCCTTCCTATCACACCCTCTGCTGTGTGAGAGTTCAGGGGATTACGTTTGCTTGTTCTACTTTCACAGCACTGCTCCGAAGCTGAACCTGACTAGTCTCCTAGTAAATTAAAGTGTTAAATTACTGAGTGTCATGAAAAATGTAGAGACGATTAGGCAACCCTTGTGCTTTCCTGATCCCAATTCTTTGTTCAGGAAACAGACACAAAAACATTAATTTATTATGCAAACATGATTCATGACCCAGAAGTAAAAATACAAACTTAGTGCAGGCAAAGTAGAGACAACAACATTAATTTGTACTGGTGAATATGAGGGACACTCGTGGGAGAGCTGAGGTATAAACTGAGACTTACAGGCGTAGTACTTGATGGGCAGACCAAGGCGACGCAGTTAGCCAGGCTGAGGCACGATCCTCCTTTATGTAGGTGGTGTATGTGAAGTAACTCATGGGGAAAAAAGTTGAGATGACACAAACTTATTCAACAAGTTACTTGATAACACTGAATCAAAGGCATTTATAAGGACCACAGTAGTGACATAGAAGTTAACAAATTTTCATTTGAAAGGGCAGAGCAGATGGAAGGGGAGCCTTCTGTTTTTTTAAAAATTTATTTATCTAATTTTTTTTTTAAATTTTAATACAGGGTCTACATGATCTCACTACTTAGATCAGACTTAAAGTGATCCGCCTTTGTTCAGCCTCCCAAGAGCTGGGATTACAGGAGTGCACCATAGGCCCAGTCTCAGTTGCCATCTCATTGTGCCCCAGGGGCAGGGCTGGCACAGCATGGCACTCTGAGGATTGAATTTTGGCCACTGCCTCTGCCTAAGCAGGTGCATTAATTCGCTGAGCTATTTGGCTAGCCCTTTCAGACTTGTAATGACACTGCTGTCTCAGCCTCCCCAGCACTGGGATTGCAGGCATACACCACCACGCCCAGTTTCAGTGGCTGGCTTGGTGCTTGCAGCCAGCACAGCACGACATGTGGTCCTGGGGATCGAATTTGGGTCTTTGCACTTGCTAGGTAGGCACTTAGACCTTTGAGCTATCTCCTCAACCCAGAAAGCCGTCTTCTAGGCAGTGATTTGTAGGGGAAGAACTGAAGAATGGATAGCTATTACCTGGGGAAACATTGCCTTGTATGCAGAGACGTAGAAATGAGTATAAACATGCCGGGCTCTGAAATTCAAGGTGGTAACCATGAATGCAACATACAGTGTGAGGGTGGGAGTGGTGGCCCATGAAGCCGGGAAGGTTACGAATGGGTTGTACTGAGAAAGACTATTCATGTTCTGCTGTAAAATCAGCCTGCATTCTAAAGACAGCGAAGCATCCCTGACAGGAGATTTGTGTTTTGGAAAGGTCACTTGAGAAATTTTAGGAAAGTAGATCCAACTAAACATGTTTACAGCAATTGGAGGACTGCTTCAACAATTTGGGCAAACAAATGAGGAAGGCCCAAAATGAGGAAGATGACTTAAGACAATGAGGAAGATGACTTAAGACAATGAAGCTCAGTAGAAAAAAACTGAAAAATGTTCAGACAATTGAATTACTCAGCATATTCTGTGGATAAGTCTAGAGTAACATCTAGGTTCTGATCAGGAACATGATCGAAAGAAGATGATGGTATTCGTGGTGTCATAGAAATACAG